TTGAAATTACAGAATTTATACAAATCAGTGTTAATTCTCTATTTCTACTATCAATTATAATTTTTAAACCCTGAGGTGGCATTGTGGTTAAGGGCTCTGGACTCCCATGTGGCTGACTTCTGTTCGAGTCCTGAACCAGGCAGCTTGCTTTCTCATTTTCTCTCTCCCTCTCATTCTCTCCCTCTCTGGTCAAATTAAAATAGAAAAATAGAAATAGAGAAAAAGAGAGAGAGAGAGAGAGAGAGAGAGAGAGAGAGAAGGAAGGAGAGAAAGAGAAAGTAAGTTAGTTAAATAAAATAATTCTTTCAAAAAATTATCAAACCTGGAACCAGCAATTGGCGTAATGGCTATGTCGCTGGACTCCCATATAGTCAACCGTGGTTCGAGTCCCGGACCCAGTGGCTTAAACGCACACCGGGCGCGTGTGCATGCATGCCCAAGATCCCAAGAGGAGAATGGAGAAGAAGGGATTGTGGTGTGGCCATCCCCCCTAGGGGGGGATTTCTTGCTTTCCGTTTCTTTCTTTCTGGTGAGTGCACATGCCCTACAGCAAAAACCTCTCAAAAAAAGAAAAAAAAAAAAAGATCAAACTCTAAAACTGGAAGACAAAGGAGTATTTATAGCCATATAATGTTCATACGATGATTCATTATCGCTGATGCTAAAGTTCTATGCATTTTGAAGAAATTTACAGATCAACAAATTGCTAACAAACGAGATTGTGTATAGAGGTACCATAAGCTGTGCCTCACAACATCTCTCTTCTTACTAGTTTGTGTTGGTCTTAGAACATGGCTGCAAATACTTGATGTCCCATCACAAGGTGACGCCTATGTCACCCCTCTCCTTGGATCTAGGGGGCTTGTGATTGCCTCCAACAGGGAAGAACAGAAAGGATACCATGTGACTTCAAGTTAAGATCATTATAGGCCATGCAGCTTCAGCCTTGTTCACTGGAACACTGAGATACCGTGTTAAAAATTATTTATCTTTTGAAGTTTTTATTTTATTCATTATTGAGAGTATGTGCACCTGCCCATGAGAGCAAGAGAGAAAGAAAGAAGCATCCTCGATACTGGCTTGTCATACCATTATCTCCCTCCTCCAGTCCTCCAGGAGCTCAGGCAAGCACGTGAACAGCATTTTTCAGGTCAACAAGGCTGGGATCTAAACCCACAGCTGGTCATGTGGCTTCTAGTGCTGTGGTCTAGTACATTACTGCCTGCATCGTGGAGGCTGGGTCAACCACGTAGGAACTTGGAATGATCTGAGGCTGTCATACTGGGAGGGTCCCTGTAGGCTCTCCAGCTGACAAGTCTTAGCTGAGCTTGTGCTTCCAGTCATTCACACCAAGGTGCCAGACGTGAATGATGATGCCACCTTGGAAGTGGATTCTCCGATTTCAACTACTGCAGTCAATGGCTTTGAGTTTTTCCATCTGTTGCCCTGATATCATATGGCCTGCTATGTCCTGTCTGAATTCCTAACTCACAGAATTCACAAACAGAATCGAATGCTTGCTCTTTCATATCAGTATGTTTGGGGTGGTTTGTTTCTCAGTAATAGATAAATAGGGTATTAATCAATAATTTAATTGACAAACATGAGATGGCTTGACTTTAGGGAAGTGAAGTCAAACACTAGTAAAGATGTGGTCCTGGACTTAAATGTATAAGGGAGTAGTAGATCTGCACTTGCTACCAACTTGCAGACTACTTCACAGGATAGTTACAGCACCTTGTGGATGAGAAATATTTGCTGAATGATTGAACACATGAACTTTATTATTCAGGATTGAATGCTGGATAATAAACATTTCTACCTAAATTTCAATGTTTTTAATTGAGAGACTAAAGAAAAGTCAGATTGTTTATCACATATCTGTTCAAATGGGGTACAAAGTTCATATTAAAATTTTAAGTTAACTTTTTACAACTGATTACTCAATAATCACTCCCGGTTGAGAGTAGGTTTATAGCAGGTGAATCCCTACTTTATTCAGTCATTCATCTTTTCATTTTATTTATTTATTGATTGATTTATTTATTTATTTGGGAGAGATTTTTGCTATAGGGTGTGTGCACTCACCAGAAAGACAGACAGAGAGATGGAAAGTGAGAAATCACCCCCCCAGAAGGGATGGCCACGCCACAATCCCTTCTCCTCCATTCTCCTCTTGGGATCTTGGGCACGCACACACGTACCTGGCATGAGTTTAAGCCACTGGGTCCAGGACTCAAACTGCGGTCGACTACATGGGAGTCCAGCAACATAGCTATTATGCCAACTGCTGGTCCCCATCTTTTCATTTATATTTCACACAATAGGCTTAAGATATTTTGGAAATATTTGAAAAGTAGTTAACTCCAAATATTTATAAACACATGTGGAAAACAGTATATAATTGCTTAGCCTCTATCAACCTATAAATGACAGGATAGACTGCAATTTCCAAATATTTACATCATCATCACAAATGGTTTGGTAGAAAATACTATAATACAACATCGCATTAATTCTTACATGCATGTTACTTACATGAGTATTTCTAAAAATTTGTGAAATTTTATCTCAATGTTTTCAAAATAAAGCAAATGAACTGAGACTTCTTCAGTTCCTCTAACATCCCATAACTGATGTTCATTAGAGTCACAAAAGAATCCTATACCCTAAAAAGAGTAGCTCTTCTGAGAGAAATAAGAAGCCTAAAATATTCTTCATTTATAACTAGGCCTGACCCAGACTAGTATATTCAAAAGTCTGGTGTCAATTTCCAGAAGGTCTCTGATATCATGTTCAGATTCTATGCCTGCTGGTGACAGAGACAGATAAAAATGTAAGACTACATTACATGCATTTTTCAAAATTCTATCCTACTCTTTCTCTCAGCTTCTATTTTTAGACAATACAGCTTGGATTTAAGTAGTTTCTTTATACGTCTAAGTGTTTCTAACGTTTTAGCAACCTCTCATTTTTTTTTTAATTCTTTCTCATAGGTCTTAATTATTTCTAACAAATATACTGGGACCCCTTTAAAACACTGATATTTAGGAACAGGATGAACCTGAGTATTTCTGTATATCTGAAACTTTGAGTGCTATCTCCTATCGTGTCATGATACAGTTTTCTATGTTTTTTAATGCAAAAATGCATCATGACTTTTCTGACGACCCAAGAGTAAAGAATATGACTTGACTTGTGGTAGACCAGCATTGGTATATTAGCAAGTAAACAAGAATATGAAAGTTTAAGTCTATACCATTAACTATCTCCAAATCTTTGTGACTCAGTTTCCTTGTTTGTATAATGAGGGGGTTAGATTCGCATACCTCCCTTCAATTCTATATGTTTAAGTGTAATAATGAAAAGCTGTTCTCCATCAGACTAATACTATTATATCTAAATCCAATATGATATGTTGTGCATTGTTTTACTGCAGATTTGCCCAACTATGGTAGCTCAGTGATAGCCTAACACTCTGCAATGTTGGAAACCACATGGAAAATGAAGGTTCAGTTCTTGGGCCAGCCAGGCATGCAGTGTATTCTGGTTATCCTAGCTGGCTGGGAAGACTGGATAGGAGGATCGTGGTATGAGACTCTGGTAAGGATGCTTGTCTGTCTTTCTCTCTCAAGAAAAGAAATATATAAATCAAAACCCAAAAGGATTACTGTAGATTTATAGTGCACAAGTGGCTTAATGTGAGTTCATAGATCAACACATTTCTGTCATTTTGAGTGATTCTATAGACATGAGGTATATTTAAACCCTTTCTAAAGGCATAAATAATTTCAGAGATCAAGTCTTTTATCAGAACCAAATTATAACTTCGGTTATTAATCAGCTAAATAAATTAATCTTTTAAAAGTTTTTGTTAGAACAAAAATCCTCAGTAAATGTTTAAAGTTTTCCAACCCTAGTTCTTGTTCAATCTACTCCCAGAACATACAATTTTCCGATCTTACAAATAAGTATGTATGTAAATATTTCCAAATAAGTATGTATGTAATTTTGCAACAAAATGATCATTTTACTGCTTTATAATAGCCCATTCAATTGACATACTGATACTACAGTATTTTTTTTTTTTTTGGAGAGGTTTTTTGCTATACGGCTCGCCAGAAAGATAGAGATAGACAGAAAGTGAGAAATCACCCCCCAGGGGGGATGGCCACACCGCAATCCCTTCTCCTCCACTCTCTTCTTGGGATCTTGGGCATGCACACACATGTGCCTGCCGTGAGTTTAAGCCATCGGGCCCAGGACTTGAACCGTGGTCAACTCCGTGGGAGTCCAGCAACATAGCCATTATGCCAACTGCTGGTCCCAATACTACAGTATTTTGAACCATTCCCCACTTTTAAATAATTAGATTGAAGCCAATTTATCAAATTTTGTGAAATGTAATAGAGAACATCTTTATATAAAATTTTCCTTCTTTTGGATAAAGGGCTTACTGCCTTGTAAAAAGCGCCTACCATTATATCCTGTCACTATCTGAATATAAGAACAGTTCCACATTATAGCAGCAAAAATATTAATGAGTATAAAATGATGTATCTTCACTGTAGTTTTCTGTAAAGCTTACTCCTTTATTTCCTAAGATACATACAGAGGGAATGTGGGGAGGGAGTGCACATCCTCAACAGGGTCCACACTCCTCTCCCAGTCCTGCAGCTGGCCCGCATCACGGGAGTGCCCAAGGTGTTCAGGGAGACCTCCGGGCCAACATGGGGCCCTCCTGTGTGGCTTCAGCATCACACAGCAGCACCCCTATGGCCTGTACCGCTGCAGCTGTGCCTTTGCTATAGTTCTATATTCATGTTTTTAATAAATAATGATACAGATTGTTTCCAGCAACTTATTTATTTCTTGTACCTCTTCTGTATTAGGTTTGTTAATTTCCTTACTGGTTTCTTCTATGACGTTTTCGTTCACATGTTTGAACAACCTATTTGTAAAACCTAGTCACTTCTCTTTCTGTCATAGTTTTTACTCACCTGTTTTTAAGATGTGCCTCCAGATCACAGCGTTGCATTACATCTTGGCACACTGAAGAAAATGGACATAAAACTAGTAATTTGTCTAGAAGTTTATGAACTAGAATACTAGACTTCTTACACAACTTAAAATGAAGTCTCTTCCGGTCCAAAGGACAGAAATCTTTCTCCTGTAAAAAGTTTCTGAGGCACTTGTAGCAGAACGTGTGTCCACAAGGGGTATCTAGTGGCTGCAGCAGAGGCTGAAGGCAAATATGGCAGACCAGGTCATCATCCACTTCATTCTGGTAATTGTATAAGTGGTTTTCTCTTGTCCAGTGCTGCTGGCCACATTCAAAACACAGGGGGTTTAGAGAGGAGGAGGAGCTCTGCTCCACAGACACCATCTCATCACTTGTCGTTCCCATCTCAAAGCAATCAACTGATGCAGCTTTTGCACCTTCATAGGTTAGACTTTCACGTATGGTTTCCTTTAACAGACATCGATGTTTCTGATGAGAGCTGAGATCTGTTTTCCTATATAAATGAAACAAATGAGGGGGGAAAAAAGTCCATTAAGATTGGTTTAGAAATATCAACATACTACAATGAATTAAGTTTTTTAGTGAAATATTGAAGTCTAGGGGGGCCAGTAGGTGGTGTAGTGGTTGAAGCACTGGACTTCCACATGGCTGACCGTGGTTTGAATCCTGGACCAGGTAGCTTGCTTTCTCACTTCCCCTCTCTCTCTCTGTCTCTCTCTCTCTGGTGAATTAGAAGAACAATGAATGATAATAATAACAAATTCAATAAAAAATAGTTTAAAAATATTAAAGCTTAGATCAGTAGTAAATTAGTCATAAGAGATAAATAATGATATGAACTAATCTTCTAGTTGGCTAAGAATGACTTAACATTGCCAAGTTCTCGATGCAGTAGAAACTTATGTTCGGAAGCAAAGATGCTGATCATTACACATTGTAATATGTCTTTGTAAAACCACAATGATGAATTCCACATATAACTATTAAATATAAATTAGAATTTACAAAAAAAGCAAAGATATCATATGAAATATGATATAAAAAACTAAGAGATTTGTTTTATTGACTGAAATCCCCAAATACTTTACTGGTGAACCATAGTTTTAAAGCCAATTAATCTGCATAGTGTGCTGATAACCTAATTTGAGGTATATTATTCTAAAATATTTGCATTTGTCAACCCAGTTATATTCCTTGCTTCTGATTAATTTTATGCATTTATAGTACTATCGCAAACACAGTGTCTCTGAAATATAGGCTCAAGGATAATCCCAAGACTGTCAATAAAAATGACCTTTGCTCTGAACTATGAGAAAAAAATGGATTTCAAAATATGTATGATTTAAATATTCTCACTCTATATAACACAAGTTATAGAATGATACATCTGCATAGCCTATATAAATATCACCTGAGCTTACTCTACAAACACTTTCATTCTATTAAAAGACAAAAGCCTTCTTTAATTCAATTAAACAGATAAGAGGTGTCACAAATTTTTTTGGGGGGGAGGGAGAGGTTTTTGCCATAGGGAGCATGCACTCACCAGAAAGACAGAGACAGAAAGCGAGCAATTATCCCCCAGGGGGGATGGCCACAACACAATCCCTTCTTCTCCATTCTCCTCTTGGGATCTTGGGTACGTATGTACACGTGCCCAGTGTGAGTTTAAGCCACTGGGTCTGGGACTTGAACCACGGTCGACTACATGGGAGTCCAGCACTGAGCCATTACACCATCTGCTGGTTCCATGGGTGTTATAAATTTCAATTCCACCTCTTACTATTCCATACTTCCACATGGTCTTGCTTACTCAGAGCACCAATCTGTGTGGGGTGCGCATGCACATACTGTCCAACATGATTCTTAAGACAGCTTCCAGTTTGGTGCAAGAAAGCCTAGCAGGGAATGCTCTGCTCACATAAGGGTCTCCATACTTCCTGCTGGTTAAGCCCTAGGGATTAAAAAAATCCACTCCAAAGGGCGTTCTCTATATTCCTTCTGTAAATATTTACGGAGCCTCTAGAATGTGCCAAACACTGAACACAAAGAGAGGAGAGGACAGTTAAGAAAACCCATGATTAAAATTCAGTGTAATAAGTACTCTAGAAAGTTATACACAGGATGTTATGTGAATATGGGAAAGATAATGAGAACTGGCATCTAACTCAGTTTGGCTTTGTGGCCGGAAATACTTTCAAAAGGGAAAAAACATGGACTGCTGAGTTGTGACAGGAAGCATCAGCCAGAGAGACAAAACGGACAAGGGCACCTCGGGCAAGAGAAGAGCACCAGCTAAGCCACAGGCCGAGGGTGCAGGGCATATTCAGGGACTAGGAAGCAGGTAAGAGGGCCGAGGCACAGCAAATGCACTCCACAGGAGAATTCCACACCTTAGCATCCCCGCACAAGAATGGAAGAGTAGGGGTCGGGGACAAGCAGACGGCATGTGGTTATGTCCCTGGACTCCCATGTACTCGACAGTGGTTTGAGTTCTGGACCCAGTGGTTTAAAACTTAATGCCAGGTGTGTGTGAATGCATGCATGCCCGAGATCCTGAGAGGAGAATGGAGGAAAAGGGACTGCAGTGTGGCCATCAGCCCTGGGGGCGTTTTCTCACTCTCTGTCTCGCTGTCTCTCCAGGAGTGCACACACCCTATAGCAAAAAATCTCTCTTAAAAAAAAAAAAAAGAAAAGAAAAGAAAGAAAGAGGGACCGGCAGCTGGCATAATGGCTATGTTGCTAAACTTCCATGTAGTCGACCACCGTTTGAGTCCTGCACCCAGAGGCTTAAACTTATGCCGGGCTCGTGTGTGTGCATGCCCAAGATCCTAAGAGGAGATGGGATTGTTGCGTGGCCATCCCCCCTGGGGGCTGATTTCTTGCCTTCTGTCTCTCTTTGTCTTTCTGGCGAGTACATGCACTCTATAGAAAAAAACCTCTCCAAAAAAAAAGAAAGAGAGTAGGAGCTGGCAGGTGGTGTGGCAGTTAAGGTGCTGGACTCCCACATGGCCAACCACAGTTCAGTTCATGTCCTGGACCCAAGGGTTTGAAGATCATGCCAGACGCATGTGCATGAGTACCCAAAACCTCCAGAAGAGACGGGAGGAGAAGGTTCTGTGATAAGGCTAACCCCCTCCAGAAGAGATGGGAGGAGAAGGTTCTGTGATAAGGCTAACCCCCCGGGTGTGATTTCTCACTTTCCCTCTCTGGCGAGCATGCATACACTGTGGCCAAAACCTTAAAAAAAAAAAGGAAAGAGTTGGACACTATACTGATGCTACTAGTGTCTGTATTTCAATAATAAAATTCTTCTCAGACCACACACATGCATTTGCTACTTTATTTATTTGGGGTATTTGTTAAAGAAATATTGTAACAGATTTAACAAGTGTGGCCATGAACCAAGAGGTGGTGGGATAAGATTTAGGTGGGATGGGTCTCATCTCAGATAAATTCTATGTCTTTAAAAACTACCTCACAATAATAGCAGTCTGCAGTCTAACTCCTGTCAGTACTGACATCGAGATAACAAACACTTATATTTTCTTATTCTTGGGGCTTGTTCATTACCCTTTGAACATTATAACTTTTTTTTTTTTTTTGAGAGGTTTCTGCTATAGGGCGCGTGCACTCAACAGACAGATACAGAGAGACAGAAAGTGAGAAATCACCCCCCAGGGAGGATGGCCACACCACAATCCCTTCTTGTCCATTCTCCTCTTGGGATCTTGGGCACGCACGCACACGTGCCCGGCATGAGTTTAAGCCACCAGGTCCGGGACTCGAACCATGGTCAACTACATGGGA